TGTGTGTGTGTGTGTGTGTGTGTGTGTGTGTGTGTGTGTGTGTGTGTAGCCTCTGAAGCTATGCGCGGCTCCACTCCGCTGGATGTGGCAGCATCTTCAGTGATGGACAACAACGGCCTGGCTTTGGCCCTGGAGGAGCCTGACTTGGAGAAGGTTTGTTACTTGAGCGAACAAACCAACATGTTTACGAACATTGAGTCCGAAATCTGCTGCAATTACACCGTTATTGATCCTTGAAACATTATTATTTAGTGCACCCGGTGCTTTCAAGCTGATCACCAGCCAAAGTGTGTTCCTTTTATCACAACCTCGAGTTATTTGTTGTTGTAGCAGATTCATCTGCTTTATGACAGACTTAACTTGAGTGTTAAATACTATTTCAGGCACTGTAAAATTGCAAATTTTGAATGAAATTGCATTAAACATGCTGAGATGAGAGAACCAGATATTTTTGTAGTAATAAAGCTTAAATTCAGCGAAACAACCATTTAGTCTAAAAGCACACGTACAGGGAAAGTAAGATGATATTTGTCTTGATGGTATGAGTGGGCGATATATCAAATATACTCAATGTATTGCAACTTGTTCTATGTGTGATGTAGTAAATTAGTATTTATCCCGAATCCTGAGTAGAAATATTATTTATTGCATAATTAGTGTGTGTGTTGTATGAGCATGGAGGTGTTGACGGGGCGTGTGTTGTTGTATCTGAAACAGGGAAAGAGCCTGGAGAGAGCGAAAGAGGTGGAGAGCACCAAAGCGAGTTTAGGCAGTAGGTGTTGAGCTCTGAAACTTTAATGGAAGAAAGTGAGCCAGACAGATATAGATACCTCAAGGCACCCAAGTTTTCTCATTAGAATATGATGTATGATTTTGTCCCATCTGAATAAGCTTGCTCAGCAAATGCCTTCAAGCCGTCACTGTTTCTCATACTGACAGTCAAGAAGACAAAATATGCCATTATAATACCCAGGAGTGAAACAGAATGTGTGTGTGTGTGTGTGTATGTGTGTGTGTAGGTGGTGAGATATCTGGCAGGCTGTGGTCTTCAGAGTTGTGCCATGCTGGTTGCTAAAGGTTACCCAGACCTCGGCTGGAACCCCATAGAGGGCGAGCGCTACTTGTCCTTCCTGAGGTTCGTCGTCTTCTGCAATGGTATGTCGACTTTCATACTGAGTGCACAACGTATATACAGCAGACTCTGACTCGTCCTTTTGCGAACAACTTAAATCACCACCTTTTAAATGCCCGTCTCCCTCGTCGTGTTTGTATACCAGGTGAGAGTGTGGAAGAAAATGCCAACGTGGTGGTGAAGCTGCTGATCAGACGCCCCGAGTGTTTCGGCCCCGCCCTGAGGGGAGAGGGAGGTCAGGGTTTGCTGGCTGCCATGAATGAGGCCATCAAGATCTCTGACGATCCTGCCCTGGACCTGCCCAAGACTCTCTCTGTGGTCACTAATGGGTATGAAAAAAAAGCCTGGGAATCAGCATTAACATCATCACAAGACACTAAAAAACCCACTGAGCTCTCACTAGTGTTGAGGTCACCCATTATCCTTGTCTTTGTGGTGAATTGCTACGTTTAGGTAGATTTGCCTGTGTGTTTCTGAGCTCAGCCAAACAGGCATTATTCTTAGTTATTACACTAATTAATAGTGCTATATCAGGTTGAAATTCATACTGCTCATTCACTATGAGGAGAGTGAAGTTTACTTCTTTGTTAAAGCCTGCTCAAAGGAACTGGAAATACAGGAATGTATTGCTCTCAATTTTAATCAGAACTTTTATCATCGGATTGACTTTCCTCCCAAAACAGGAAAATCATCCTATATAAAATCTTGCTATCTAAAATTTAATCAATTCGATTTTTTATTTAGTTGGTGTTTCAGAGAGGTTATTTTAACGTATCCTGTCATTTTCAAGTTGAGGGGTGTAACCTGTAGGGGGTGCGCGTGTAGGTGCGGCGCTGTCCATAGTGCTGAAAGGGGGCGGAGATTGATACGACAGACAGAACACATTTCTTACCCGGCCTGCTTTGCGAAAGAGAGAGAGAGAGAGAAAGAGATGGAATAGGCTATATATCATGATTTATTGGGAGAAAAAAGCAATTATATTTAAAACCAGACCCCCTATATAGCCCGAATGGAATGATCTTTTGTTTCATCATCGCATTTTATCGCCACTGCTGCGAATCATGCTCCTTAGATCGAATCCTCGACTTCGGGGTCACCCCTATTCAATATACAATATACATTTGAACAAAAAATAAACGGCTGGGAACAGGTGGAGTTAAAGACGGCACACAGAAATGCTTGTCTACTTAGAGGTTTAAGAGAAAATAATATAGCAGCCTTGACATTGATGGAAGCTGTGAGTAAAGCTGTGTAGAAAGTGCTGGGGCCCTGCCGGCTCACATTATTATGCAAAGGCTGTAATACACTGACTGCATTTTAATGGGGTAGGTCAGTATTGCATGAAGTGAGGCGAGGGATTGGGAAGCGAGTCAAAATCAATGTGTATAACTCAGTGGCCTGTCTGGAGATCATGTATTGTGCCAACGCATTGTTATAATTCCTCACATAACTGCTGTAATCTATTTCTCTTCTGGTTCCCATTGTCTTCTCAAATTACCTTGAATCAAATTACTAGCTGAGCTCATGGTTCCTGATTTTCTTAGTAAGAGGGAGGTTTGCAGTATCCTATATGGGTGTGTTTGTGCGTTTCAGGTCTGGTGAGGAAGAAGGGGAAGTTATTCACATGGGCAACGCCATCATGTCCTTCTACTCGGCTCTTATTGACCTGCTGGGACGCTGCGCTCCAGAGATGCATGTGAGGAGCTTTTTCATCATGCACAGACTCGCACTCCTCTATACAATAACAGAGGCCACCACAATGACCTGAATGAAATAGGGCGTTGGATATTAATTATTATTAATACGTTCTATTTTACCTTTTAAAAATGCAGAAACTGTTGTACATGCTTTTGTCTTTTTGCGCCTTGATTTTTGCAACAGCCTCTTTAATCAAAAAAAAAACCACAACCAAGAGGTATGATCATACCACACCTGTTTTAGCCTCTTTACATAGGCTCCCTGTTTGTTCAAGAATGGATTTTAAGACCCTAATGATTACCCTTAGAGCTCTTCATGACCTGGCTCCAGACTATACAGTATTTAAGACCTTTTAATCCCTCATGAACATTTGCCTCGTTTGAGATCCACTGGCATTGGTCTTCTGGCTCCTGCAGAGCACAGAATCTTTTAACTCTGCCCTTAATGTATTTTATCATTCGTTTTGGTATTTAATTTAATTTTCGACCATGACACACTTAGTACTTTGTACTTCTCCTCTATTATTATTTCCTATTTGTGTCTATTACAGCTTATCAATGCGGGTAAAGGTGAAGCGCTGCGTATCCGAGCCATCTTGCGCTCTCTGGTTCCCACCACTGACCTGGTGGGCATCATCAGCATCCCCCTCAAAATGCCTGTGCTTAATAAAGGTATGTTGGTCTTAGTGGTTGTTGTTTTATGTATTTCTGTATGAAGTCATGCAGGTGTTGATGGTTGAATAGCAAAAGATAAACAGGAAAAAAAATAATGAAGTTGAACGAGGTACAGCAACAAAAACAAGCAACGGTCAGTTTGAAAATGTAGCGGGGAGGAAACCTTTAACAGCCAAAAGTGACAAAAGAAAAGGGTTTTTTGGACTCGATTAAAGCCTGAAACTGGTTTCAGGTGTGGAAGAAGAAAGTTGCACACTCGTAGCAACGATGTAAATAATGATTTAAAATGTACCAACGTTTCGTATTCTGCACGGTATTAAGTGATAAATTGCAGCACCATAAGATGTAAAATTATTACCGACACTGTTGTGACAGTTTATTTAGGCTGTTCTTGCAAATAATGCTCTCTGCTACATGGACATAGAGAAAATTACTTTTTATAAGACTTTGATAGGCTTTTGGGATCTATTCCTTAAAAACCCTTGGCCTTAATGGCCTGAATGTTGATTTTGACTTTGTATAAAATTGTCATCTATAGGTACATGAATACCTAGGCGTCGTCCCGAGATATTATGTCTATCCCTGGAGGTCTCCTCTTTAGGAACGGAGTCGGTGCCAGGGGTGTTTTGTCCCTTAATGCCCTGGAGAAACTGTCATGTTAAAACGTTGGTAAATTATTAAATCGTTTTTTATATCGTGAATATCTTACTTCACACTTTTGCTTTCATCTTGATCAGCATCTATCCAGCGCTGGTGTGCATTCCTCCTCTCTCTCTCATCCTGAAACTGGTCTCACAAACAGCACTCTGACAACACATTTTGATTTAAGCCGAATATACAAACAAATCTACAATATATCAGATTCAAATTGTCTCTGCTGCCTACTGAACTAACATGCTGCATTACTTAAATGAATGTATCTGCACAAATCATCTCAGCTCTCCTACGCTCTGGAGGTAAATCATGAAAATGTGTCACACCAGCCCGGATGTCAGGAGTGAATATCTGCTCACTTCTCCCTCTTTCTACTGAAAAGAAAAATAGTTTCAGCCATCTTCAGCAGCAATCACACAAGAAAATTAAATTCATATCCAATTTTCTTAATGACATTTTCCTAAAAGAAAGCAAGCTGTGTCTGAAATGAACAAATTTTGCTTTTGTAATATCTTTCCACAGCTTATCATTCCTGAACTCACTTTTACCTTAAATACACTTGTGTTTTGTTTCTACATATTTTGTTCATAATGCATCTTTACATCATTTATGTATCATTTCATACTGTATTAAAAGATTCACTTTTTAAGTTAAATATGCTTTAATAGTCAGGAACACTAAGAAAAGTATCACAATCAATAAAAACAATAAATACAATATTTACACACGGCACATTGAACTGAAACTTTTTCCCCCTAAAATGTGTTTAACCTTCAGATGGTACACTGACGGAACCTGACATGTCAGCCTGTTTCTGTCCGGACCACAAGGCCTCCATGGTGCTCTTCCTGGAACGAGTGTACGGCATCGAGGACCAGAGCTTCCTGCTCCACATGTTGGAGGTCGGCTTCCTGCCTGACCTGCGAGCCTCTGCGTCTCTCGACACGGTGAGTGAGAGGAAACCCCGATAACCTTCACTACAAATCCTTAGCAAACCTTCACCTTCAAACCTTTATTTTGTTACTAACAACCAAAACATTTGTTTCCCATGTATCCTAAAAGAGTACATTTTAGTATTTTAGCCTGTAGTTGCACAAAGTAAAAGTGCTTGTTGCGAGCATGTGTAAGGGAGCCTATTTTCACTCCAACTTTCTATTAATCTTAGATGTGGGGAGATGTGTTTTGTGCCTCTTCATCCTTTAGTTCACATGTATTGTGTTCCGTTCCACAGGAGGTGTTGAGCACCACCGAGACGGCGTTGGCCATGAACAGGTACATCGGCTCGGCCCTGCTGCCTCTGCTCACCCGCTGTGCCGCTCTCTTCAGCAACACGGAGCACTACGCACAGCTGATTGACTCCACGCTGCAGACAATCTACCGGCTGTCCAAAGGACGCTCGCTCACCAAAGCCCAAAGGGACGCCATCGAGGAGTGTCTGCTGGCTATCTGCAAGTAAGGCCCGCTGAGCTATGATCAGACTCAGCCGAGGGGAAATAAAAAAAGGGGAGCTGGAGATTAGCAGAGGCTGCGCCATTATTCTTTCAAACAATGGCACTGTCAAACGGCTTGCCTCAGGCACAGTGCAACACATATTGAACAGCACGTAGGACAAACTGCAGGAAACGCTGCCATTCGGCATAATAGATTAAGGGCTATTTATTTATGAACACAATGATACTTAAGGATTGTAACCACATAATGTTGGCAGCCATTTTTAATGTCTTTGACAGAGTTTAACCTCGACTGACCCTGAATCATGCAGCTTTGTGAATACACTGCCACAGAGATGAGGCCACATTTCAGAGTACATTTAAAATTCAGTTCAGGTGCTCAGCTTGGTCTAATTGCACATGAGAGAATTAAATCGGATAAGTGTGGTGTGTATAATAGATTGAATCTGCAGTTATTGTGGCTATTGTATCAAATTTATGTGGGAGTCTCGAATCACTGCTCCTGTGTTTTTATGTTTCACTAATGTAATTCTTATATTTCACAGGCACCTGCGTCCCTCCATGATGCAGCAGCTACTCAGGCGGCTGGTGTTCGACGTTCCTATGCTCACTGAATACTGCAAGATACCTATAGGGGTGGGACACTAGACGAGTTTCTTTTCACTATTGTGCTTGATTTATTAGTTGAAAAGAGAGTTATGGCATAATTATAACGAGCAATCGGAGGCATCGCATATTTCACAACCCATTCATCCTCCTCATTTGCTGTGTGTTGAACGCACAGACATATTGTTTCCTCACCCAAGCATTTCTTTAAGTCTGTTTGAAGGCAGGTGACATTAGGCATCATGTATTTTACCCTTTATACATGAAATACAGCATAAATAGTACAAAACTTACTCTTTGGCCATTGATGTGCAATCATTTTTTATATAGTTGAACTAAAATCGTTATGTTTTCTCCTTATATTTGATTTCTAGCTTCTGACCAACCACTATGAGCAGAACTGGAAGTACTATTGCCTGCCTTCTGGTATGGCCAGCTTTGGCATAGCCTCCGAGGAGGAGCTCCTCCTTACCAAGAAACTCTTCTGGGGAATCTTTGACTCCCTGTCTCAGAAGGTACAACCAGAAACCCTGTTGTGTAGATTATTCATTAAGATTCACTGACAGCGTGTGTCTGTAGTGTTTATGATTTTGGAAAGCTGTATTACTTATCTTTATTTTGTTTATCTATTCCTCCTCCTGCTCATTTTTTTATCTCTGAGAATAAATCAGGAGGCAAAGCAATCAATCTCTGTTGCATAACTAAATGTTTAGTAGTGTGTTGGTGTCTGCTCTCTAAAGCTGTCCTCTGTTTGCTGTTGATTTTTTATATTCTGTTTTTTAGACAAAACTTGGAACAACAAAAAACAAGAAAGTTCTTGGTAGTCAGGAGGTAGTGAAATGAAAGCTCAATGGAGTGCCTCGGAGCAGTGCAGCTGAGGCGAAGCCAAAACAGATGAATGATTTATCAGTCTGTGACAAGCCATCTCTCAGTGCAGACTTTATCCAGCTTTCTGTCTTTTATTTTGCCTCCTCATCGTTTCCTCTTCCTGTCTTTGCACGACTCAGTCTGTCCATCTAATAGCTAAGCAGACATGTCCTCATTCTGCTGATCTGTCTCTTCTGTAGAAGTACGATGCGGACCTTTTCAAAAGTGCCATGTCATGCCTGTGTGCCATCGCTGGAGCCTTGCCTCCCGACTTTGTGGATGCCAGTCTCGGAGCAACACTGGAGAAACAGGCATCAGTGGATGCACAGGGCAACTTTGATCCTAAACCCATTAACACCGCCAAGTGAGTGGTCTGAAAATGCATTTACTTACTTTTAGATTAAAAGGCACAATTTTTGGAAAAAAATTAATCAAACGTATAAAACTGTTGTACTGTTCTGCCAATGTTAGCTTTGGTTTAAAAACGGCAATTTAATCACGATTGGTGGGTTTGTCTGTAAATCAAAACAAAGCTTTTGCCTGCTCAATATACAAGTAAAATTGACTTTGAAATAATTATTTAAATATTATTTTCACTTTCTAGTATCTCTCTTCCTGAAAAGCTTGAGTACATTGCCAACAAATATGCAGAGCATTCCCATGACAAGTGGTCCTCGGAGAAGGTTAGTCCCTAAATTTGTCTTATTTGTGTTCTGTGTGGTACAGTAGCATGCCTGGCCAGCAAGCATTCACGATATATCACTTAGTTTATATTCCTGAAATGCATAGTACTATAAGGCTGCAACTGTTGTTGCAGGTGTCAATAGGCTGGAAACATGGAGACAGCCTGGACGAGCAGGCCAAAACCCATCCACTGCTGAAGCCTTACAAAGCTCTGAGTGAGAAGGTACATGCACACTGGTACATACACAGCTGCCGTTAGGGGTGTAGGAAGCATTCTTTCAAATGCTGATTGTGCATCAAACATAAGGTACTTTTTTTTTCTGAGTGAAAGAAATCTCTCACAGTGGCAAAGCTGTTTAAAGACGGACATAATGGTGTTGGTTGCATGCAGGGCAGAGCCAGTGTTGCAATTTCTTAAGAGGACAAATTAATTGGCCAACTTGGCAACACATTTTTGAATGCGTCATGCTAAACTACTCATTAACATGAAACTCCAATAGAAGAATAACCTCTAGAAAATGTAGAAAGTAGTTTTATTTACACATCAGATGGGTTTGTCTTGAATGAACAGTCTCACCCATGTTGAACTGTTGCATCAACTTTTGTGTGTTCAATATGCAGGAGAGAGAAACATACCGCTGGCCAGTGAGAGAGTCATTGAAGAGCATGCTGGCTATGGGCTGGAACATTGAGAGGACCAAGGAAGGAGACGCCATGTTCCAACAACGACAAAGTGAAAAACAGCGAAAGACCTCTGAGTCTCAGGTAACATCCTGATGTAGGATCACAATCAGACATGAATGTTCTCACAGATGTTTCCTTTGTGATACTTATTTACTATCTAACACTTAAATTCACAAGATTCTCCCTTTTTAAAGATGGTTCCGGCACATCAAATTTAATTTTCTAAACCTCACATTGATTTGATGAGAAATATTTAAAATGACTGATGCATTTGTAGCTTTTAATATTCAAATCTGGTTTGTGCTTGCATTGTCTCTATCTGACTTTGTAGATTAATGGATTCAGTCCTGCTCCAATGGAACTGCACAATGTCACTTTGTCTAGAGAGCTACAGGTTGGTTTTTGTTCAACTTTTTCTCATTGTTGTAATAATATGATCATTGTTCTAAAACAGTTGTTACATATGCTCTAGTCTCAAGTGTGCAAATTGTCTTTTTTAACACAAACCCAATGTGTTCAGACTTGATTACATTTGAGTGTGTGCTGTACCTGCAGGGCATGGTGGAGGTTGTAGCAGAAAACTACCACAGTATCTGGGCCAAGAAGAAGAAAACTGAACTCGTTAGCAAAGGTGTGTTAGCGTGCAGTTTCAAAATACACTTGAGTTGCGGTAATTCTGACTAGTGAGCTTGTGTAAAATGGTATGAAAATGATTTTTGAATTTGATTTGACTTGTCAGGAGGAGGGACCCATCCGCTGCTGGTTCCCTATGACACCCTGACAGCTAAAGAGAAGTACAGAGACCGAGAGAAGGCCCAGGAGCTCTTCAGATTTCTGCAGATCAGTGGCTATGCCATCATAAGGTTACCCTCCTCTCCCTCCAGTTTGTCCTTCCTTAAAGAAATAAGCAACACTAAGAAACACAAAGCACAATGTCACAACAGCTCAAAGCACTTTTAAAAGTTTCCTGTATTGTATATGTCAGGCAAAACTTTAGACTGTGCTTAATGAAGTCATTCTAGTTTAAATCCTAATGAGCACTGCTATGAATACAAACCATTTATTTCTTTATATATCGAAACACTTTGCTTTTGGTAATTGATTAAAAAAAGAGTAATTTGATCTAGAGAAGCACTGATTGAGACACACACGTGCTGTACATCGACACGGACACTAACGTCACAGACACACACACACAACATGCACGTTGCACCTATAGTGGCCGCTGCAGCACTAACAGAATATAACAGCCACACACACACAACATGACGTCGGTGTGAAAGTTCCTCAGTGCGAGTGAAATACACATAAAGTTTGCAATTTGTAACACCTTTAAGTCCAAAAGAAGCAATGGAGGAACAACCTTAAAAACAAAGGTTTTGGCAACAAGAAGGTCTCGTAACTTTTGGAGAAAAATTAAGTTATTTAATTGCCAATGTTTTATTGTGAACATACAAGTGATAAATAGTAATCGGTCATTGGAAAATTGCAGTTGGTGCATCCCAAATCTGAACAGCAACTATTTGTGATTTCTTGACTTTTGTAATCTGACAGAGGTCAGAAAGACATGGAGCAGGACTCTTCATCCATGGAGAAGCGTTTCTCCTACAAGTTCCTCAAAAGGCTACTGAAGTACATCGACTCTGCCCAGGAATTTATCGCTCATCTTGGTGAGTGTGTGACATTTTTATATTGATTCAGAATTTGTCCTCGACGCTGACCTCGCCACTTAACACTGTTGTTAATCCAGAGGCTATGGCCACTAGTGGGAAGACGGACAAATCACCTCATGACCAGGAAATCAAGTTCTTTGCCAAGGTCGGGAACACTTTTTTTGCAACAGAACCACTGACATGTTGTTGAATTCACTCTTAATAAAGCTTTGAGTAAGGTTTGAGTCTCATCCCTGCATTTCTTCTCTCCAGGTGTTGCTTCCTCTGATGGATCAAACTTTCAAGAACCACTGTCTCTACTTCCTGTCCACGCCCAGCAAGAGCCTGAGCAGCTGTGGCTGTGCTTCTAACAAAGAGAAAGAGATGGTCACCAGGTACTGTGTAGACGCAATGGATAATCTGTGTCATCAGCCTTTTCCATTGTCAGGTTTTTGCTATTCAGAGAGTCCTCCCTTTTAGCTCAGTGGGAGGAGTGAAGAGGTTCTCTTCAATATTTCCATCAGAACTTTTCTTATTTCCTTTTTTACTTTGCTTTTTTCAATTCTGTCCTTACCATCTTTCTTTTCCAGCTTGTTCTGTAAGCTGGCAGCTCTTGTCAGACACAGGATTTCTCTCTTTGGTAAGGTTGGCATTGCCTCTGTATGCTCGTGTGCCCCTTTGCTTTGAAGTCTCTTTCCACATCTGCAGTAAATGTTTCTCTCACAGGAAGTGACTCTGCAATGATGGTGAGCTGTCTGGACATTCTCTCCCACACACTTGACACCAGGTAAGGTGTCTGTATATGCAGTGACTCATCAAGTAGACAATAAAACTATAGTCTTGAGCGTGCACATTAGCCCCTGTGTTCCCTCCCCTCTCTCAGAACGGTGATGAAGTCCGGCTCAGAGCTGGTCAAAGCCGGGTTTCGGACTTTATTTGAGAGCGCGGCAGAGGACCTGGAGAAGCTGCTAGAGATGCTAAAACTGGGGAAGTTCATGCAGTCCCGTGCCCAGATGAAGAGCGTCACACAGAGCATCAACTATGTGACTGTGGCACTGCTGCCCATCCTCACTGCCATCTTTGAGCACATCACAACATACGAGTTTGGACTGGACCTGCTGTGTGAGTTTGTGTTTATCACTCACTGATTTCCCTTTTTATTTTACTTCATTTATATTGCGTTTTGTTTAAAAAGCAAACATGAATATAGCGATTGCAAATGATGCTCAATTAATAGTGCTATCAGCGGCAACAATCCATTCAATCCAGAATTTTTTTTCTCTTCCTGTTGTTGTTATGCAAGTAAAAAGTTTGTGTTTTTGTTTGTTTCAGTGGATGATGTGCAGCTGTCCTGCTACCGAATCTTGACTTGTTTCTACTGTCTGGGAACAGGAAAGAACATCTTCGTGGAGAGGTAGGTGGACAAACTTTTCTTAAACTTTGCAGCAGGATGTAAATTGGTATTTGGTTCAACACATGAGCAGTACTGTCTATTTGATAAGTTTACTTGATAAGACTCCTTGATAATGATTAATGCTTGCTATAATTTCTATCATCTACTAGAATTGGTATCAAGGATCTGTGAAATAGTATTTCATGAAGTATAATATGCTTGTCACTGTTAATTAGGATTTGTCTGTAAGGCTTTTTGATGAACTCATATGTGTGACAAATGCACTCAGGACTTGAAGGAAGATTTATGATACCTCATGTACCCATATACTTGTTTAAAAATATACTATGATACACTTATGCAATAGTTTCTGTGGTACAGTATGCGTTACAAAATGAAGGCAGAGGTTTATTATTTAGTTATAGTTCTAAACTATATCAACCTAGGGGAAAGGAGACAACAGAAACACTTCATTAAAACCATTATTCTGTGGCATTATTCTCTAACTGGCAATAAAATAAAATAAAAACTGTTGTGCAAAAGAAAGTTACATAAAGATACATTTTTGGTGTGTTTTTTTTTTTATTACACTTCATAAATGTACATGTGTATCTGCAGGCATCTTCCAGTGCTGGGGGAGAGCCTGGCGACCCTGGTGGGAGCCATGCCCGTGGCGTTCCTGGAGCCCCACCTAAACGCCCACAACCCTCTGTCTGTCTTCAACACAAAGACCCCCCGAGAGAGAGCCAGTGAGTGTATCCACCTAATGCTCCTTTTTATATTGATCATTATCCCACTCATTTACAGTGTTTTTCTGTCGCTGTGTAACGTTCATACTTTAGAGCATTAAATGTTGTCTGCGTGTTTTTATTTTTCAGTCCTGAGTATGCCGGACAAAGTGGAGGAGATGTCTCCGGAGATGCCTCGTCTTGACAGACTGCTGAAAGATGTCAGCGACGTCTCAGAGTCTGGTGCTCGCTACAGCGACATGCCAGAGGTCAGAAGGACAGATGGGATATTTGAATGTATACAAACATCTGCATTTTTTTGGCCTTTGGTCCCACATGGTCACTACTTGAATGCTAAAGAGTATCGTGGCGTAGATACAAAAAGTCTCTATGGAACATGGTCTATTTATGGAAGATATGCATGTTATACTGTATGTTGTCCAAACTATGTCTTACTATGAAGTATTTTAACGTTAACATCGTACAAATATATCCTATAGACCGTATCGGTGTGTTGCACAACTGAGATTTAAGTAACTATTCACGTAAGATTTTTACACCTACGTGACACATTTGCACAAATTCGATTTGTACAACTCTTGTGTTGCCTCAAAATCAATCATGCAGACATTTGAACTTTAGCCTCTCTCCTGCAGGTCATTGAGGTGGTCCTTCCCATGCTGTGTAACTATCTGTCCTACTGGTGGGAGAAAGGTTCGGAGAACTCTCCTACAGGTGCCCAGTGCTGCACTATGGTGACTTCTGAACACCTCAGCTTAATCTTGGGAAACATCCTCAAGATCCTGAACAACAACCTGGGCATCGACGACGCCCCCTGGATGAAGAGGATTGCAGGTGAGTGCCAGGCTCCAGGCTGTTAGAGAAAGAACAAATATGATTTGAAAGGCTTTCATGCCGGTCAGATTGTGTTGTTTCTCCAGACTTGCAAAGGCAGAGCTTGTACTAGGTTTATTTTGCTTTGTTGGGAAACGGAAGAGAGAATTTTACAAATGAATTGCTTCATGGAAGTATGCAATTACATTTCATTAGGTGGTGAGTTTTGTTCTCAACAGATGTAGAAACTACCCTGCTGTCTCCTTTTCTCGTTTAAAACATATGAACAAACAAGTGAAGCTTCAGCATAATAATGAAAACTCTCCAAAGTTATTCTAGATGATGATGCCCTTGTGGAAACCTCATGTTAATGCAATGTTAATGTTCTTTTCGTAGAACATTAGTATTTTCAGTGCACAATCCTCAGCGGGAGTTCAGGAAAGGCCAGATCAACATAATTAGCTGCTGTGAAGGCAGATAGCCTGAAGCATCACTTCTTAAAACCACATTTGAATATTTGACTTTACATACAAATAAATTAAACAAGCGAATAATTGATATAGTGTATCCTGTATTAAACTATCTTTTGAATAATATTTCCTGTTTTGCGTACTATTGTACTTTCGGAGACGAGGATAAAAAACACAATTGCGGATATAACTTAAAAACTTGTGGTTGTTCTAAAACTAAGTGCTAAATATAGTTTGACAGTTGGGACACTTGACACCAGAGCCAATAATCTCCAGCGACAGAGGAATGATTGTGGTTGTCTGTATATCTCAGCTGCCCATGTCCAGAATATATATTTTCCATCGTCTCTGTCTCCAGTTTACTCTCAGCCAATCATCTGCAAGGCTGGAGCAGATCTGCTGAGGACCCACTTCCTGCCCACACTGGACAAACTGAGGCAGAAGACAGTGAAGGTGGGAGCTTAAAATATAACGTACATTGTATCCTATGCTCAATGACACTTGTGGGTAAAGTAGATTTTTTTTTTGCTGACTCCATCGTAAAGGGGCTGAATTTATAGTGTATTTATGGAGCAGTCAGTAGTCAGAAGAGCTGGTCCACCAACGTTATGCTTAGTCACACCTGCTGAGAGTAACAATAACTCTTGTCACTTCCTAAGAGAGCATACAGGGAGGAGATTATTACCACTGAGGTGGAAGGGGGTCTTGTGTGAGGACATTTTTTGCTAATGAATTGATTGCTGGAGATGAGTTGTTGATGTGCTGCAAACGAAGGTTGTGGCTGAAGAGGAGCTGCTGAAGGCCGACAGTAAAGGTGACAACCAGGAGGCCGAGCTGCTCATCCTGGATGAGTTTGCTGTGCTCTGCAGAGACCTCTACGCCTTCTACCCCATGCTCATCCGTTATGTGGACAACAACAGGTACAATATCAGCAGAGAAAGAATAGTCTCTATTGCAAAGATTTTCAGGGGGATTTTTTACGATCAAACATTAGTTTGTCTAGTTTTAAACATCACGATTGTTTTCCTGTAGTCCCTGAGCTTTATCCACCTATATGTCTGATTTATGAATGCTTAGTATCGCCGTGACCTGCACAGATGTGACACAACTTAATGTAACTCAATAAGAAATGTCTCTGGTTCATGTCTCGTTCCATTCCAGGTCCAGGTGGCTGAAGCAGCCGGACGGAGACTCCAACGAGCTCTTCAGGATGGTGGCGGAGATCTTCATCCTCTGGTGCAAGTCCCATGTAAGTCTTACTCTTCAATCAAGTAGTCATATCACAATATGACGTTTGATAACGGTATGCTGGTCTTGAGGTTGTCCTTCTTGATTAACCTCTTTTCTTTGTCCTCTGAACCCAGAACTTTAAGCGCGAGGAGCAAAACTTTGTGGTTCAGAATGAGATCAATAATTTGGGCTTCCTGACTGGAGAGGGCAAGGCGAAGATGTCCAAGGTAAATGTAATGGATGTTACATGTGGTATGGGTGAATACAAAATGGCAAAAACAAAATATTTGATATTGCTGATGATTAGCTTTATGAAAATGACTTCTGAAAGTGATTAGGGCGAAAACGAATTCTTGATTAACTTGATTACTAAAAACATCTTTGTATCGAAGCTTAATTTAATCCAACAGTGAATTAATCCTTTTTGTATCCAAAGCCCAATGCATCTTCTTCATCTGTTCGATAGAGCTCAATTGTAGGACGTCTTCATTCTGTAAGACATCACATGTCCTGTGATGAACCCAGGAGATGGGCGCAGAGTACATCTTAGTTCTCTCTGGGTTCATTTTGGACTTGTCTCACTCCTCACCTGCTGTCCTCTGCACTGTGTCAGCACTTTGGAAAAGCTGAACACAACCTGCATACTTTTCCTGACGGGATCCCCATGTGCTCCGTTTCTTGCTACTGTATTTTACAGACTTCGCTAATTGAAAGGAAAAGTCCTTCTAAGCACTTTTCCTGTGTTTTTAATCGATCCCCAGACATGTGCCGAGCACACTGAATGTGTAGACGGGAGACGTTCCACAAATCAACCGTATGAGTTCGAACCTCTCACATCGAGGGTTTACGACATGATATTTCATGCGGATATTTGTTGCGGTGAGGTCGGGTCATATCTCTGGATGTTGGCAGTGTTCGGTCCAGCAGTCGCTCAACAAGCTGTCACTGTGGGAGTTTGTTGTTTATTTGTTTTGGCGGAGCCGGACACTTTATTTATTTGCACTCTTGGGTTGTTTTGACGCAATAGCTCACAGTGGAGCAGATCTCCTCAGCTCTTGATCCCAGATGACTCTGCTTGTTAGCTGATTTATGTTGAGGCACTTTGGGTCATAGTGTGCGTTTCATCTTAATCTTTGGTTTTTAAAGGTGAAACACAAGTTAAATTACAAATACAAGATAGGGCAAGTTAGAATAATTGTGAGGAAGTGACCAATGTTAAAAAGGGTGTGTCTTTGTCTCCTTCCTCTCTGTAGTCTGGGGGCGACCAGGAGAGGAAACACAAGCGGCGTCGAGGCGAGTACTACTCCATCCAGACCTCCCTTATCGTCGCTGCCCTGAAGAAATTGCTCCCCATCGGCCTCAACATGTGCACCCCAGGAGACCAGGAGCTCATCTCCCTCGCCAAGATACGCTACAGTCTGGTAATGCCTAGTTCACACTACTAGACCCAAGATCAGAGGCGCGTTGGCTCGGCGCGTTGGCTCGGCGCGTTGGCTCGGCCCTCCCGCATCGGCGCCCGAGCACTATGTTTGAACTGCTCAAAGACGCCAGCCGAGAGGCTTGCTGGTATCGCACAGACACATTCCAGATATCTAACATGCTGAATATCTGAACCTGCTTCAGCCAATGAGAGCACGAGAAACCTGGTGGAGTGGTCGCCTGTAACTCTCTCTTTACAATGTCCTTATATTCAGCCGTCTCATAAGCTATTCGAGGTCTCATAATTGATTCACTGATAGACAATATTAGTGGAGCCTCTAATAAAGTTAATCATTTGAAGCTCATTGAGTGCAACTTCCTAAATCTCCTATCAAAGATACATTAAAGTACTTTATATTAAGCCGGAGTGGTGCCTCTTGACCAGTCTTATGTGATTGTATGGTCTTTCTTTGCATCGCAGACTTCAGCTTTTATTTCATTATGTTGGGGATTATTTAGAGGGAGTTTAAAAGAATTGAGAAAGTTTTGTTGTGATGCAAATTAAAGCCCTTAACCAACAAACCATGTCTTCTTTGGTGCGGTCGACATTCAGTAAGTTATGGAATTGCAAATACGTTTCAAATGTTGTCCAATGTGATAGCTTTATACACAAATTAGCACCCTGTCTATTTACTTTTAAAGTCTTCTACTAATAAGGTATTAACAATGCATTATGAATACCCTTTCCCTTCATAGAAAGACACAGATGATGAGGTGAAGGAACACTTGCGTCAGAATTTCCATCTTCAGGACAAGGTGAGATGATGTTCTACCTGGTTGTCATTCCAGTAGAAGATCAGTGTCAGTAATATAAGTATAACGCTGCTGTTTATTTATTGATTTTGAGTGTTATTGTGTCGTAGTCCGATGACCCAGCGGTTCAGTGGCAGCTGAACTTGTACCACGACGTGGTGGTGAAGAGCGAGGAACCTGCAAACTCGGAACACACAGTGGACCGAGTGCAGAGCATCTCAGCTGCAGTCTTCCACCTGGAGCAGGTAGAAACATACACAACAGATTAATTGATGATGAAGATATTAATTTGTTGCAGCAACACAGTACCAAGCATATAGCATCTTTGTCTACACAACTGGTCCCGACTTTGCGTTTCACCGTCGTCATTTCTTCACCCCTCAGGTGGAGCAGCCTCTGAGAAATAAGAAGTGTTTCCGGCAGAAGCTCCTGTCCAAACAGCGTAAGCGTGCTGTGGTGGCGTGTTTCCGCATGGCTCCACTCTACAATCTACCCAGGTGATTTACAATGTCAATAATTCAATATTGACATGAAAACCCAAATTAAGACATTGCTTTATCTCAATCTAACTGTACATAACAGGCAATCACCGAGTAGTCGTCGGGGGGGGGGGGCAGGCATTTTACTTCTGGATTGTGTGCCCATGTGAACCCCTCATCACCTCCCTAATGGCCTTCTCTCCTCTGTGTTGTTTTCTTGCATAACACAACCTCATCCTCCCTCAGATACAAAAATAATAATTACTTCCTGAATGGCTATCGGGAGGTTTGGCTGGAAAGGGCATTCAAAGCCTCCAGCTTTGACCGCCTGTTCTCCCTGCTGACGGTAAAGTGAAACTACAGGGCGAATGCTTCATCAGTTCAATCCCCCGCCCCTTCATCCACCAGGCTGTGGACCGACCTTCTGCCTACCTGCCAAACCAATTGTTTCTGCACTGTTGATTCTGATTGGTCAGCTAGCATGAGCCCAAGAATTGACCGAAACAAAGTTATTCGGAAAGCGGAAACACACTGCAAGCTGCAGGCCTTTGTTTCATTTCAGGTGTACAAGGAAGGATTGAAGAAAGACGGAAAGAAAGAAATCTATTCAAAACAATTTTGACTTTTATTAGTTGGCTACCTGGTTTACAAAAGTATGTTTGATTACAGTAATATACAGTATAAACGCTGTTTCATGTTATTTTGCTTCCTGCTCTTAAAGATCTGTTTTTCAAAAGTTGTGTAGTGTTACGACACACATGTGCATCTTTTTAAAATATTTTTTCTGATAATTACAAGAAACAAAGTTGTTGATGCACCTATTTGTTGGAAAACTGCCTATCTCCCCTAAAGTGTGCATGCTCCTCTAATGAATGTTACAACCTGATGGAAGGAACTGTAGTTATGTCAGAGATCAAACGTGACCAGTCAGAAGAGCCAGTGGGTCCCACATTGACCAATCACCCCCCTGCCTGAAATGCAATTCCTGTAACCCCTTCCTCCCCCTTCATCTCTCCTTCCTGTCTCCTCCAAAAAACTCACCAGAACCCACCCTAATGCCACTGTACCTCCCTCCCCACTACCCTCCATTCCTCCCAACCTCCCCTCACCTCCTCCCTCCCCAGGCATCGCGCTATCAACTTCTTCATCCCGGCCTATCAGAGACTTTGGATAGAGGCAGAGGAATACTCCTTTGAGGAGAAGCTAGTTCAGGATCTGGCAGTAAGTACTGGGCTCGCCTTGCCCTTGCCCCATGTGCCCTGCGTTGGCACCCCTCTGCCAGTCCTGTCTGCCGAATGCTTCTTTAGCACCGCGCCCGTCGAGCCTTGGGAGCGCGCCCGGGTGGGGACCTCGCCCAAAGCACCCAGGGGCGGCCCTCGCTCTAGGCGTGCAAAACCCTTCAAACAGAGATCCGTCAGGGGTCAGAGGCTGCATGACCAACTCAGGAGACACAGGGTCAGCTCCGGTGCTCGCGTCTCTAGGAAATCAGGCTTTGCCTTTCTGACAGCAGTGGTAAGGAGGGCCTTCGAATAGGAGTCATTAGCTGTTTGGCTGTCAGATCTGGATCCAACCCATCAGTTGTCTTTTTCGCTGTACTCTGTAAGTCTGTAGTGTGTAAAGGTGACGTTACAGTACGTTCTGTGGCCGTGACGTCGGTGGCATGCTTGCGTAGTCATGTGAAGATCATACTTCATTAGCTCTTTGTACGCAGATGTGCAGCAAATTCATAAAGACACTAAAACTGTGCCATTGAATGAGAATAAAGTACAGCCTTAGATACAGTTTTCTTCTACAAGTCTGTCAAGATTAGTTTGGACTCGTGGACATTTGTGTAGTCCCTCTTAGTAATTAATGCTCCTATACTGTCATATAGCGTCATTCTTCATGTTCAAAGTCATATCACCAATTAGCTTACTGCTTGCATCTGTTTGCTGTAACATGCATGTATTTGAACACTGATTTCAACGCTGTTCATCATTCACTCTTAACGTCCTTTGCCGTCCTTTCCACGGATCACCAGGACATGATAAAAAAAAAAAAATCATCTGCATGCTAGTGCTTGTTGAATGTTACCGACTCTTTACAGGGTTTTTGACAAATGTGTGAATGGGCACAATTGTCAGTAAGTTTGTGAAGATAAAAAAAAGATATATATTTTATTAGAGGGATGATTAGCGATCAGATGAGACAATGCTAACTGTTCTCACCTGTGGACTCCTGCAGAAAACCCCAATGAAGATTGTGGAGGAGGAGGAAGAGGAGGTGGCTGAGATCCAGCCGGACCCTCTCCACCAACTCATCCTCCACTTCAGCCACAACGCTCTGACAGAGAGAAGGTGAGAGAGTCAAGTCACTGAACACGAGTCTATGTAACAGTGAGCATGCATTTGAAATTCTGTCATATTTATTTTAAATGTGCTACTTTTAGCTTTTGAATTTCAATAAATAATTTCCTCTTTAAGAAGTCACTCAAGAGGGACATACTGTACATCTGCTTTAATCACTGAGGTTGAAGCTCCTGTTGCATGTTGTATAAAATATAACGATAAAAATCATGTTTTGATATTTGTTGTTGATACATTGGGACATCGCTTCTTTTCAGTTACTTGGATGAAGATCCTTTGTATATTGCGTATGCAGACATGATGGCAAAGGTTAGTGGCCTTTAAGTTATTCTTTACGTTTAAATAATTGTGGAAAGACTTGATTTAACGACATGAATGTTGTACCTTTGTGTCTTCAGAGCTGTGCAGAGGATGAGGAGGAAGAAGAGGAGGAAGGGAAAGAAAAGACTTTTGAGGTATGTTCTCATTCAGGCTGATACCCTCATAACAAAGTCTGTGTTACATTCTTAAAAACATCTTAGTTTACCAAAACTCTGTCACCTGGAAATACTCAGAACAGGTACATTGAAGTTTATACTGATGATGGTGTGCGTGCGTGCGTGTGCGTGCGTGCGTGCGCGTGCGTGCGTGTGCGCGTGCGTGCGTGTGCGTGCGTGCGTATGCGTTGCTCCGCAGGAAAAAGAGATGGAAAAGCAGAAGATCCTGTATCAGCAGGCGAGGCTGCACGCCCGCGGGGCCGCAGAGATGGTGCTACAGATGAGCAGCGCCAGTAAAGGTAACGAAGAGCTGATCTGTAACCTTTCTGCTGGTTTACAAGCTCTTTTCTTTCTGGGGAGCTTTAGCTCCGTTCAGTTTAAATGCATTTAAAAGGTCTTTCATTGATGACAAGACTAAAATTCTGAAGTAAACTATTAATATGTATGAGACCATTTTACTGCGAAAAAGTCACAACACAAAAAAGCTAACCTGCCATCTAAAACATAATAAAATATGTTTTTGGTACCCTGAAATGTATCCTTGCCATCTGATCTGCTGCTGGGATTTATCCTTCATCATCAGTCAAACCTGCTTCTGTCCTCCATGTTTGTTGACTTGCAGCTTTTCTCCTACTCTTTCTATCAGGACGTCTGGGCCCCATGGTCACCTGCACCCTCAAACTAGGAATCTCCATCTTAAATGGAGGCAATGTGCACGTTCAGCAGGTCAGATTAAGCAGCTGAAATATCCAACTATATTCATCTTTTTGTCCTATTTACTGTATCATTCTCATTCTTCTGTCCAACCATCAACATATTCAGAAACCACACTGGAGTAGCACTTGTTTTCGACAGTAGGATGTTTAATGCATTTCCTCTCTTGTCACAGAAAATGCTTGATTACCTGAAAGAGAAAAGAGATGTAGGCTTCTTCAAGAGTCTCTCAGGACTGATGCAGTCTTGCAGGTACTATACTGTTATGTTATCTATGCCGGAAAAAAGTATTTCTGTGCTTACATCAAGTGCTTCTATTTTACTTCTGGGTTTTCTTTGCCCAGTGTTTTGGACTTGAATGCATTTGAGAGGCAGAACAAAGCAGAAGGACTTGGCATGGCGACAGAGGAAGGTTCAAGTAAGTTAAGAGTTGTCTTTCTAGATGGGCAATTTGGCAATTACCTGTTTTCCCCGCTTCAGTCTTCTGAGAATCACATTTGTGACATGAAGTTAGGTATCCCTATGTTTTTACTCTTGATCACAAGACAAGAAAACACCTTATCTTTTTCACTTCACTAAACTAATGCTGAACCATGACAACTGCATAACATAGGTGTCCATGAATGTCCATTATGAAATGCTGTTCCTAATTAGTATCTGTATGGCCCTTGTAGATTAAACAATCGAAATGGCATTGCTATCAATGTGAATTTTGATTTATACAAATAGTTTGATGCTTGCGCTACAGTCTTGAAGCCGTTAAAGTCGACAGTGTGTTGTCTTCTACGTCTACTTTTGCACTAAAACAAGCAGGCGTGAGTTTTAGATATATTATGGGACTGTGTAATATTTTATTTAATATTAAATCATGTATGTATGCTGTCATGTATTTCACAGCAGTGGCTTGTGAGTGGCTGTCTAACAGGACATGGTCCAGCATTAAAAACAAATCTCTCTCCAACTTTTAACAAACACTCTTCACTTTGACGCTTTTCCCATCAAACTATGTTCGTCTTTTCATCATTCTGTCCTCTGCCCAACATTTCCACCGAGTTCTGTGTTCAACAATTCAGTGTTACTACTCGTGTCACTGGTGTGAATTTTTCGCCGTGACTAAATTCTTATTTAGTTCTCATCTCGTTGGATACAACATAGACACGACTCAGGCCTATGATCTCCCCCCCCCGTCTAAAACTATTCTTTTTAACTGCATGACTTTGTTTTGTACTCGTAGACGATATATTCATAATTCTTTGTATTGTAATTCAATGTCCTCTCTTTTTGCTTATGTCTTCGTGTATTGTTTGTCTCCTTCCTGTCATTTAAAAAAACCAAAAAAAAAACATCGATGGCAGCCAACTCTCAGCGGGGTAAATAGCAAATTTAGATCGTCTTGACATGGCTCTGCTTCCACCCTGAATGTCTCCTCCATATCTGTGGTTCATGCTTTATTTGGTAGCCAGTCTCTCCCTCCCCCACATGTCTGTCGGGACACACTGCATGGAGAGTGTACACAGAAAGGGGATCTTCAAGAATCCATTGCTTGTCCTGTTGTGTGTTATTTGTTCCCATTCCCTTTAATGTTAACATTAATATACTGATGCTCAAAGCTGTTCTGAGGCTGTCAGTGCCACATCTCACGGGTTTGACTGAAGGTTTGTGGACTCTTCCACAGCCTAGAAGCAAAACTTTGTCTTGCTTTGGATTTTGGGCGTATTTCACCAAGCTGGTTTCCATACAGATGTCTAACTTTCACATGGTCTTATCTGCTCACAGAAAGGTATTAGTGCTCATTTTGTTTAGCTGACTGGATTATCAGGTTAAATGATGTAACCACGTCTGTCCACTGCTCTTGTTCTTGAAATGACACCCTTCATCGGGCTCAAACCCCGCCCAACATGTGAAAGTTGTCAGGCGTCCTCCAGCTTATGGAAATGTCCAAGTGTTTCATTGTTGTTTATAGACAACAATGAGCATTTTTAGCATTTTTACAAAAAGCACTTTGGATTCAGTTTTAAACCTGCAATCTAAAGGCCCTGGACTTCAATTATGTATTACACATAAGATCTGTCCTGCTTGCCTCATATTAATTGCTTCTGAAGGGATTTTACATATTATAAGACATTGTTATGTTGAATATATAAATACTTATGTTACTCTTTGTAGGGTCATAGTTACAAGTCACTAAGATCTCTTCTCTCTTCTAAGGTTCCAAGGTGCTACAGAATGATGAATTTACTAAAGATCTGTTCCGGTTTTTGCAACTTCTGTGCGAGGGGCACAATGGAGGTGAGCTCGCACTTATGGTTATTTTAAAGTCCTGCATCTTCATCATGGAGCATTGTTTTGTTTGTATAACTTGTTTCTGCACTGCGCCACGATGGCACAGTGATCCATAAGAAGAGGAAGGACATGGATGAGAAAATGTTTCTTTCTGTCAGATTTCCAGAACTTCCTGAGAACTCAAACTGGAAACACAACCACAGTCAACATCATTATCAGCACTGTGGACTATCTGCTACGTCTTCAGGTTTGTAGAAAGCAGCAGATGTTCACTCGCTATTACTTGCGCCCTTATTTTCATTTGTCTACCAATGTGATCCTGCTCTCTAGGAATCTATTAGTGACTTCTACTGGTACTACTCCGGCAAAGACGTCATCGATGATCCTGGAAGATTCAACTTCTCCAAAGCTTTATCCGTTGCCAAGCAGATATTCAACTCACTGACTGAGTATATTCAGGTAGGAAGCCGATCCCTCGGTCAACGCTATCCACAATGTGAAGATTGAAATTACCTTTACAAATATTTCATCTTTCCCCTCATCTCTTTCCTACAGGGCCCTTGTATCGGGAACCAGCAGAGTTTAGCTCACAGCAGACTTTGGGATGCAGTTGTTGGCTTCTTGCATGTATTTGCCAACATGCAAATGAAGCTGTCTCAGGTACAATACGCTTTGTAATTCTTCTACTTGAAAAGCATCTCCTTATACAAAACAAAACATAGTTCAGCATGAGAGGATACAACTAAAACAAGCAAATCTTTTGTTCAATAGAAGTACTCTCTTCCTTCTTACTCCTTTTATCATCTTGTGACCCCAAACATTTATCTCACTTCTCAATATATCTCTATAGTTAGTCATTTATATCTCTATTACTGAGGTGAACATTTGGAGTCTAAACAACTTTGTTTTGTTCTTCCTTTGGGGGAAACTCCTCCAGAGTAAAGCTTTAACAGACAGACTCTCATCTCTTTGTAGGACGCCAGTCAGATTGAGCTGTTGAAGCAGCTGATGGATTTACAGAAGGACATGATAGTCATGTTGCTGTCTCTGCTAGAGGGTAAGAGCCTGAAGCGGTCGTTCGCTGTCAAAGAAATGAGCAAGAACACAAACATGTCGATACAGTTCAATCCCGCGTCTGTCGTACATAACACATCGTGTTTTTGTGCAATTAGGTAATGTGGTGAACGGAACAATTGGAAAGCAGATGGTGGACACCCTGGTGGAGTCTTCTAGCAACGTGGAGATGATCCTCAAGTTCTTTGATATGTTCCTCAAACTGAAGGACCTGACGTCCTCTGACAGCTTCAGAGAGTACGACCCTGAGTGCAAAGGCATTATTTCAAAGAAGGAGTTCCAGAAGTCGATGGAGAGCCAGATGCAGTACAGCCAGTCCGAGATTGAATTCTTGCTCAAGTGTACAGAGGCCGATGAGAATGACATGTTCAACTACAAGGACTTTGTGGAGCGGTTCCACGAGCCGGCCAAAGATATCGGCTTCAACGTGGCAGTGCTGCTGACCAACCTGTCTGAACACATGCCGCACGACTCCAGACTCGCCACCTTCTTAGACCTTGCAGAGAGTGTGCTGAGCTACTTTGAGCCTTATCTGGGTCGTATTGAAATCATGGGCAGTGCAAAGCGGATAGAGAGGTTGTACTTTGAGATCAGCGAGTCGAGCCGTGAGCAATGGGAGAAGCCACAGGTCAAAGAGTCCAAGCGTCAGTTCATCTTCGACGTGGTCAATGAGGGCACGGAGAGCGAGAAGATGGAGATGTTTGTGAATTTCTGTGAGGACACCATTTTTGAGATGCAGCTGGCCTCGCAGATCTCTGAGCCAGATGTGGTTGAACAGCCTGAGGAGGAGGAAGAGGAAGAGGCACACAGTATCCTAGACGAGCTGGACGGAGAGGAAGAGGGCGCCCTGGAGTCTGCCTCAGCCTTCACTATGGCATGCCGCTCGGTCAAGAAGAAGATTGGCCACGTCCGCCAAATCTTTTCTGTTAAAAACGTACGCAAGCAGTTCAAGAAAATCAAGAAGCTGAGCATCAAGGAGACTATCACCGGCTTCTTCTCCTTCTTCTGGATGCTCTTCATCGGCTTCTTCAAGGGAATCCACGGCCTCATCTTTGGGTTCTTCCACGTCATCTGGTCCTCCATGTTTAGCGGCGGCCTGGTTGAGGGAGCCAAGAACATAAAGGTGACGGACATCCTCGGAAACATGCCTGACCCGACCCAGTTCGGTATCCACGGGGATGTGATTGAAGGAGAGAAAGTGGAGGCCATAGAGTCATCGGGAAGATTAAATACAGCCATGGCACCAGCAGGCGACTTAGAGGTGGATGCGATGTTGGATATGCTTTCGAATCCCAAGAAGGAAGGAGGAAAACATGTGGAGCCGGGCCTGGGTGATGTTTCTGAGTTGAGTGCAGAGACCTCCACTGCTGATCACAAGGTTTGTAGTCACAATTCAATAACTTCCTCCGTGTGATAAATGATTTTAAACCGCGTAGACGTCTGCTTTTCGTCATCACTTCCCTTCAGTCTTTCAGCTAATGAAAACATAATTGTCCCGATTCAGAAAGCTGCTGCCAAGCCTGTCGAAATGCCCAAGAGCGAACCGGAGAAAGCAGAGTGAGTAAAATGAAGTGTGAGGGAAAATGAATTATCATCACATAAAATCAAACCAACTGTTTTGAATACAGCACGGAGAACCAGGAAAAGGAGGATAAGCCAAAGAAGGAGGAGGAGGAGGAGGAGGCCAAGGAGCCAGTGGCGGAGGAGAAGCCCAAGACCAGATCGAGTCACCCTAAAGAGGCTGCGCCGGCCTTCATGTTGAGTATCTTTGCTGTTCTGGAGGTCTATGTGTCCAAGATGCTGGTGAGCTCTACTTATACTTTCCTTTAAATAGTTTCAAAATGTCTTGTTCCTCAGAACTCATTCCTGTTTTGTTTTTTTCTAAAATGTGCATCGGCCAATTACAAAGCAGTTAATCAAACTTTTTCCCTCCAGAACTTCCTGGCCCGTAACTTCTACACCCTGCGTTTCCTGGCTCTGTTCGTGTGTTTTGCCATCAACTTCATTCTTCTCTTCTACAAGGTAACTCAAGTCGTTTCCATCAAAATGTAGTGCAAATGTCAACTGAAGTTGGAGAAGAAAATGCAAAGTAATTTGTATTTCCCTCTACTACTGTTTAGTAGTGGGAGTTGGATGCATAGAGATAAACAGTTGGTGCTGTTAAACCTTTTCAGAAGAAGAGGGTGCAACAGGATGACCTAATTAAAAGAGCACCGGCCAAATGCGAAAACAATGGAAAACCATGTAGAAAATGCAGAAATCTGGCATTTATGTTCAGTCCACACAGATCTAATGTTTTCATTTGCTGCCATTTTTTATTCTTTTTAGAGGAACGTAAGCTTGAATGTCATTCTCTAAGTCTCTTTCCATTGCATTGCACTCTCTCTGTTACTGTTGTAAAAACGTGTTGTGTTTCTACACAACCTATTTTATTCAACAAAAGAAGCCAAACTTCTCAAATGTCCAATGTTGTCTTAACACAATCAAATGTACAAGAACTAAATAATATACAATTGGAAATTCTATCAGAGAAAGTCACAAGACAAGACAACTCTTTCATAATCCTCATTCCATACAAACATGCATAAATTAAGCTGGAGCTGATATTGTGCTTAAGCAGTCTAGCTCCCTGAAATGGGTATTTTCTCTTCATTGCTGTGCTCTGGGGATACAAAACATATCCCTCGACCTATCCAGCTGTTTCATTGAAATTATCATGTGAACCTTGATTTCAACGTGATGATCACTAACAATCTGTTCAATAACCTGAAGGACAGGAAGAGTAAAACCAAAACTAAAACAACAAATATGTAGTGGGAAGAAAAGTCAACGAGATCTTACAGAAACACATGAAATGACCACGACCTGTTAACAGGTAATGTGTTGATATTACACATCAGCACCACGAAAACAGATACAAGGACACTGGATCATTCATTGTATATGTGGTGCATACTCTTTGCTTTTTAGGTCACTGGTGAAGCTGACGAAGAAGTAGATGAGGGAAAAACGTGGGACGGCGAGGAGGATGATGGTGTGAACACATTTTTCGACATGGATGAGTTTGTGCTGCAGGAGAGCTCCGGCTACATGTTACCAACCCTGCGCTTCCTGGCTATATTCCACACTGTCATCTCATTTGTGTGTCTGTTCGGTTACTACTGTCTGAAGGTAGGTATTTTTACGATGCTATTACTACGATACTATTTTATTTGCAGATCATTCCTGTGTGTAAGCTACAGTTTTAGTTCCCCATCTTAATGTGTTTGCCACAAGGTTCCTTTGGTGGTGTTCAAGAGGGAGAAAGAGATCGCCAGGAAGCTTGAATTCGATGGCCTCTACATCACCGAACAGCCGGGTGACGATGACATCAAGGGCCAGTGGGATCGACTCGTCATCAACACACCGTGAGCCTCGTTTGCGTCGGGCATTAACAGTAGTCTCCAATCTGGATCCTCTTAGTGATGAGGGCAATGGCAAAGCCAAAGCGCTCGTGTGGGGAAACAGTTTGAAACTCGACGCAGACAATGCTCGCTGCAGTATTTGTAATGCAAAATGCAAAGATGACCAGTTCCAGATTGGAGGGTAGTCGGAATTATTAGACGATTATTCGCTAAGTTAACTGACCAACTATTCATTGTTGTTGATGCATTTCTTATCAGTCATTCAACAACAATCAATAATGAAGATAATCCCTAGCTCACACATTTTGGATGCAGTTCAGTACACAGCAGACTTTGGGAGGGAATGAAATAGTTTTATTGAACTATTGTATTACACAGCTGAGTCTAACTTCTACTCTCTGTTACAGGTCTTTCCCCAGCAACTACTGGGACAAGTTTATCAAGCGCAAGGTGAGAATATTAAAGAAGAATTTCAGGCCAAAGTTCCAACACGTAGATACTGACAACTGATCAAAACTAGAATATATCACCAGGTATGGTGGGCATCTCTTACAGTACAATGTGACCTAATGGCAACTTGCCATCATATATCACATCCTTATTACATTTAAATTGGTCTTATTGTCATTATTTGACTTGTTCAAGTGAAAGCTTGAAGCACTTACTTTGGAAAAACTGCTTTCAGTGTTTGTGCTGCACACATTAAATAAACACAGTTTTACCTATAGGTCAACCTAAAACCAAACTACTCCGCCTTTGAATGTAACCGTTTTTAACTGTGTCTGTTGTTGTGTGGTTGTTTGTTTTCAACGCATTTTGTTCTGTTTTAATTGTACTCTCGACATCATGAAAATGAGCGCATGTCCTCAGGGATTCCTCGAGATTTCAAAATATGAATAAATGGATAAGTAGTAATGTTGTATCCGTCAATCTGGATTCCTCGGGAGTCACTTAGTCTTCTAATCCATATTAGAAGATTGTTGTTGTAATGCAATTTTCAGTAGTTGTTAACATGTTATGTGAGGATAATATTGATATGACTTATACAGACTCTGGAGCATCACTGCGTTGCTGCATCGTCTCTAAAACAGACTGTACTCCTTTCTCACAGTTTGATGTTAAGTGACCGAGCTGATCTCTTATGACTCTGAATGTGTAGGTGATCAACAAATACGGTGACCTCTATGGAGCGGAACGCATCGCTGAGCTCTTAGGCCTGGATAAGAGTGCTCTGGACTTTGACCCCACAGTGGAGACGGTAGAGAAGGAAGCTTCCCTGCTCTCCTGGTGAGAACTCAACCCTTTCACAGCCAATGACAATAAACAGCAGTTTCTTTGTCTTAAGGAGTTCAAATTGTACTCAAAGGGCTTTTAGATTGGGCCTCGACTCAAGCATGAAAGTTTGTGTGGTGCTGTTGGGTGGATTCAGGTCTAAAGTGTAACCATAAACAAAACATTATCTCCACATTTTTAATGATAATTAGCAGGACATGGATAGAACGATTAATATTTCCCTTAATCAAAATGAAACAGACTCATAGAAAACCTTTATAATCCTTATAAGCTTGCGTGTGAGCTATACAGCAACGCCACTAATGTGATTCAACATTTTGTTTTCTCGTTGGCAGGCTGTCCTCCATTGATACAAAGTACTACATCTGGAAAATGGGTGTGGTTCTGACTGACAATGTAAGTTTATTTAATGTGTGAACTAAAAGCAACTTGTGTTCCCAGCACTGTGGGGGAAGTACAAAGAAATGTTTGACTTGTGATGTCAGGGTTCTGGCTATTAAAGCTATCTGTGTAACGCATTTAATAATATAAATTAGATTAGATAGCATTAGATATGTATTTCTTTTTTTATTCAACATACTTTTTTTTTCCATATTGGGAAAAAAACTGTTTATTGAAGAATGTAACATCTACATATGTTGCAATAGTATGCCGAACTCTACAATAACATTTTGTACATGCTTGAAGACAAATACGCAGAGCAATGCAAAGATTTTTTTAAATATTCATAAGCCCCATCATGTGTCACTAATGCATGGCCTTTTTCTTTCCTGCAGTACTTCCTGTATCTGATCTGGTACGCCATCATGTCCATCTTCGGACACTTCAACAACTTCTTCTTCGCTGCCCATCTGCTGGACATCGCCATGAGCGTCAAGACCCTTCGCACCATCCTGTCTTCCGTTACCCACAATGGCAAGCAGGTACGTGTATCAACCAGCAGAGGGAGCCAGAGCACAGAGAAGAACAGCAACATTAATCACCGCACACTCGTGTGCCAGAGCAGCATTTTCTTATCTTCCCCTTTTTCCAGGTTTTCTACTCGGATCTATAAAAACCTTAAAATGAAGGAAAATCTTTATAGCGTTTTGAATTGATAAGAGTAAAGGGATGTGGTTTGTGGTTTGCAGTAATCTAGTAAAGCGCAGTATAAACAGGTTATACCTCGTATTTGAACCAGTTTTTAGACAAATGAAAGATGAGATAGAATTTGATTTACTTCTCACTGTGATTGAAAGTGTTGAATGGCTAAATAGCTTGCTAAAAGTAATGCTTAAACAACTCAAATAATTAGGTAAATTACAATGGATAAAGTGTTGAAATACTGAGCTAAAAGTACTACTGTACTACTGTTGGGTAATAGGCTAAAAGTAGTGAATACATGGTTGAAATAGCTCAAAGTAATGGAATAAGGGTTTATATTATCTTTATCTTCTTTCTCAAAGTAAATGCATCCGGCATTATCCACATATAAATGCAGTTTTGTTCAGAGACAAGTTCTGTAGTAATGTGAATTTGATTTACTGAATTTCTGAAGGTCTCTGAATACTTACGAAAGCCGGCCAAAAATCCTCAATTCAGCTGCCGAGGCCTAAGAGTGTTGCAGTTCTTTTATGCTCCACTTACGCCATTAAAGAAAGCTGCCCTGACCGTGACATGTTCATTCAGTTCTCTGACATAAGCCCCCTCAACTCTCAGCTCAAATTATTACTGGGAATACTTAAAGGTTTGAATGTTACAATGACTGACTGTACTTCAATGTGTTTTTTTTGTTCTCCTGCTAGCTTATGCTGACTGTGGGTTTGCTGGCCGTGGTCGTCTATCTGTACACCGTGGTGGCCTTCAACTTCTTCAGGAAGTTCTACAATAAGAGCGAGGATGAAGACGAGCCCGACATGAAGTGTGATGATATGATGACGGTATATATTCATTTAGGAAAACATTTTGAAAATAGAAAATGACTTTCCATGTCTGCAGCCTTCAGCGAGGGCAAATGATTGGAGATAATATTTATTTTGTATGTTTGAATCGAACATTTTTTGCCTGCTGGCCTTCGTATTGATATGAAAGCAGGAGGTGACTACTAGACTGAGAAGAATGTATTTTTCTTTGGTGAACTTCGCATTACATTACAAATGATTTAATACATAACTGGTGAATGAAATGGATGTTCTCCCTCTAAAGGAACAGTATATTCATTTTCTTAACCTTTTATTAGACATATCTTTTGCTTCTTCAAGCTTTATGCTTCTTCTTATCTTCTAGCAATAGATGTTACATTTCCAGTCGCAGACTGAATCCTCAGTAACATCGTGCAATGAATTTAGTTTTTGTCTGAAGTGAAGGACGAAAATGAAAGCCACCACAGAAGAAGATACAACTGCCTTTAATACTCTACTCATGATTTCATCTTAAAAAGTGAAGCTCAAAGTTGCTTTCCTTTTCTTCTATTGGCAGTGCTATTTGTTCCACATGTATGTGGGTGTGAGAGCTGGTGGTGGTATTGGAGACGAGTTGGAGGACCCAGCTGGAGACGCCTATGAGCTCTACCGCATCCTGTTTGACATCACCTTCTTCTTCTTTGTCATTGTCATTCTGCTGGCCATCATTCAGGGTACACAATCGTTATCATTGTCCTGTCGTGTATCTGTGTTCTGCTTCATGAAGCATAAATGCACCTAAAAATGTGTTATAATTCATGCTCAACAGCCAACTGTTGCACCCTCCTTCAGGTTTGATCATTGATGCCTTTGGTGAGCTTAGAGACCAGCAGGAGCAGGTGAAGGAGGACATGGAGGTGAGACAGCAACTGTGTGTGTGTGTTAGGCGGAAACAATTAATTTAGTCATGTGCAGATACATAGATGTGGAGGAAAATACTGATACGAAGAGTGCTTTCACACTTAAACAGTTTGGTTTGTTTCAAACAAACCCAGTCTGGTGCATTTGCCTCGTTCATTTTGGGCTGATGTGAAAACGTCAACCGAAATGATGCAGATATTTTGGTGGTTCCTCATTTAAAAGTGAGCAGTAAAGTAAAAAAAAAAAAAAAAAGCTACAACAGTAACTATCTTCTCCTGTAAGATAACAGAAAACAAACATCTTATTTGTCCTGTAAGAAAGATACAGAAGAGAATGTACGAGCTGACCTACTTGAGGCCCTGTGTCAAAATGTAAACCTCCCCTCTTATTCCTCTTTCAGACCAAATGCTTCATCTGCGGCATCGGGAACGACTACTTTGACCGGACGCCTCACGGGTTTGAAACCCACACCTTACAAGAGCACAACCTAGCCAACTACCTGTGAGTGCAGCAGCAGATCAAAGTCAACACGTATTCCTGATCTACAATATGATTGAACTTGTTCCTCCCGTGTTGCAGGTTCTTCCTGATGTACCTGATTAACAAGGACGAGACTGAACACACGGGTCAGGTACGTGGCGAGTTTCCAAACCTTTGTTTGTGCTTCTGTGAGATATCACGTCCGATCAATCTTTGGACCAGAGGAAGGTTACAGTAACTTCAGTAGGCTTTTCCTTGTGCAACATTTCAACCCACTTGTGATGTTGCATAAGTGCAGCTCAGCAGGAGGAAGAAGCAATGCGTGGGTTCACTTTGCCTCTGACTTTTTTCATATTAACTTGTTATTGTAGTGCACCTGAGATTAAATTTGTTTTTATTTGATATGCATCTTGTTGCAGATCCTCACAGCTGCAGCAGTAACCACATTCAGCTGCCTGTAGAGAATCTTTGTTTTTTCTGCAAAACAATAAAGGCAGGCCTTATGGATCACTCAGCTTAGGTCTTAACACAAATAATACTTAATGATGTATTAACTTACTCTAGTATCTTCTTACAGTATCACACATTATTGTATGTAGCCTTTTTTTATTTTTTAATCTCCGGGCCCGTTCCATCAAATTTGCAACATTCAAGCTGTGATTTGCAGTATTAGATTTCCTGTTGCTCATTTGAACACGCGTGTCACTAATCAAAATAAACACAGTACTTGTATCCCACGCATGAGCATGCAAGAGTCCTGTAGGATTCGGGTATGAATCTGCCACTTCAGCAATAAATTGTGACACATTACTCCATCACGATTTGCATATACTTTCTTTAAGGGCTCAATATATTATGACCTTTTTTTTCCGACAAAATACTAATTACTTTATTGTTGACATGGTAGTCCTCAGTCGTAGCGGTACACCCTAACTGGTAAACTAATCTTAATACTTGAAATTGATGGCGTGCCACTGTAACTGTCTCTAAACTTCTCTGCATCATCACATCTTGTTTTTTTTCCTTCCCCTCCAGGAGTCGTTTGTGTGGAAGCTGTACCAGGAGAGATGCTGGGACTTCTTCCCCATCGGAGACTGTTTCCGGAAGCAATACGAGGACCAGTTGGGTTAGAGAGGGCCACTCTTGTGTTGTGCCTCTCTACTTACCTTCCATCTGAAAGGGACAGTGAACTTGACCACTCTCTGGACTTTGTCTGCTGCCATGGCGATACACAAAAAACAAATTCAAGAAAACGATTTTAAGACGACCGACGATGGGACATGTTGGGTTTGTGCGTCCAAGTCCTTGTTACCGAAAAAAAAGTCACTTGCCACGACGCCTCTTATATGCAAAGTCTTCTGTCGATTCTGATTCACATTGCCTTTTCACTTGCTTAACCCCAACCTGTTGCACAATTTGTTGTGTGTCGACATTTGATACACGAGAAGGGTTACAGCGTGACAACTGAATGTCTGAATATGCACAATTTCTAGGTTAACGCCAGGATGTTCGTGTCATGTTTTATCAAACCAACTGAATGGATGCGTGCTTCTAGTGTGATCAGTATTGATCCAGTAAACATTATACACGACACGAGTGAAACCTAATCTGCCTTTTAATATCCGTCAGATGAAAACTGTTCGTCCAGGACCACAGACGACATACTTTAGGAGTTATCAAGTGCCGGCGTGCCTTATGAGAAACTATGCAAAAAAAGATTTTCTTTTCCCTCCTGACACAAGCAGTGCTCTTGCTCTGGATTAGTTACAAGCAGATGTAGCTCAAGATAGTTTTGTGGCTTTTAAATTATAAAAAGAGAAAACATTCGTTGTATAAAATCTAGATGATAATTGTGTAAATGTAGCTTAGTTTGGTTGTTTCTGAGCCGTGACTTGCCCACAGTAGATGAGCCCCGAAACAGAGGAAAAACAAAGACGTAGTTCAAGGATTTATTGACGGTTCGCTGCTGTTGTATGGCTATTTGTATGTATGTAGTCGCTTTGGTAAAGTGCATTTCTTTTGATGAGGAAATTAATAAAGCAACTTAACGCAATAAAGCAACGTTTCACTTTCTCTCCGTTCATTTTTGCATTTGAGATTTCTCAGACTTTGATGTGTAACTTTCACATTTATAATACTGCCATCTGAAGGTAGAATTAAAAAGTCCGGTTTCCTTATATACATCTTAATCAAGTCCTTTCCTTGGTGGTCAGGAGATCATGCTGTCGAGCCAGTCCTCCAGGTCTTCTTCTGTCATTTCCTGCCTGGCGGAAGCAGACTTGGGAGGTGTGACATATTTGTCTTTCAGCTCGTCCATTTTCTCCTCTATCAACACAGACTTCATCTCCTTCACTTGCTCACACGCTGCACAATAAAAGAACACACGGTGGAAAAAAATGTGACTTTACAAATTATTAGTTTTGAACATAAAATCCAGTTTGTGCTTGAGCACCCTTCTATGCAGGTAGATATTGCATCAGTGAGATTCTCCAAAATAAAAATGGCATTGTATATTAAGTCACAATAAACCATCAAAAGAAATAAAAGTCACAGAATAGAATGTCTATAAAGTCAAAGGGAAGTATGTTGAAAAAAGTAATTGTATGCTATTTTGAAAAAGTCCTAAACGCATAGTATGCTATGTCAAAATAAGTCATAGTATAGTACGCTTTAAAAATTAATTAATAGTCAAAGTTATGGTATAGTATATCATAAACATGTAAATTGACATGTGTAGTATGTTGTACAAAAACTTTGTATGTCATAGTAACAGAAGATATAACATGTTAATTGGTCAGTTTGAATCCTGACACCTTTTGACAGAGCCAGGCTAGCTGTCCCCATTGTGTTCAGTCTCTATGCTAAGCTAAACTTAGCGGTTTGTTCATACTTACTGTACAGACATGAGTGGTATCAACCCTCTCATGTAACTCTCCCACAGAAAGTGAATCTAAATACCGTAGAGACCATTTTTAAGCAAAACAAGTTGAATATACTGACCTTTCTCTAGAACCGCACTCTCCTCATCTGCGACACTGACAGGTTGACTTCCTGACACATCCCAGACTGGTTTCTGTAAACTGAGCAGCTGGTCCAGCTCCTCATCACCACCATCATCATCCACCACCGGAGGCTCTGCAGCACTCGAGGAAACCGGTGGGTTTGTAGCCACGGGGACTGTCTGGACGGTGCTGACGGTTTTTAAAGCTGCAGACGGAGGAGTAAATGTGGCCGCTTTGCCCATCTCCTGTTTAGGTGCGAGGGTCAGAGTGGGCAGTTCTAAAGGTGTCGACACCTGAAACAGGAACAGCGTAAAAATGAATGCAATGCAAGTCAAACATTGGTTAGACGATTCTTTTCTCCAGTGCAGGATATGCAGTCAAACAGCCTATAACAGCCTACCTGAAGCAGCTCAGCCTCCAGGTTGAGTCTCTGATGGAGAGGCACTTGCTGAAGAATCTGGGCGAGCGCTGGGAGGTCCACAAACACTGCAGACATCTAGAGAGGGAGCATGAAAACAAACTGTGAAATCAGACACAATCTAGCGGTTTGTTTTCTGTGTGTTGAAGTAAGCAATCACAGCAAACAGTCGAGTCATGTTAGTGAAAGCAATGCTACTTTTTGTCACATTGGTCATCAGTATCAGTCCTGCTCTCGAATGTGCACGAGGAATCAGACTTGAAACCAATTCATAAGTTAAAAAAACATGTGCAGTTGGAAGTGAAGATAAACTAGCAGGTGATTGTAATTGCAGTAATTGTCGAGAGACGTCAATCAAACCCACTAATGTCAACCTAGGAAGCTAACAATGCTGCTCTCTAACTGCTGTGCACTTTCAATCCAAACCTCATGTCTGTTTGAAGGATCCATACCCAACAAAGTGTGTTAAATCCATGAAAGACAAAGAAGCAGAATGCTGAAGACTGTGTGGGATATAGATTTACCTGACTGGCTGAAGATGAGTCCATCTCCCAGTCCTTTTCTTCTGAAAACCGGAATTGAGTGAAGGAATCCCCTGAGAAAGACACACAAGACCAGAGTTTGACACACAACTGCTCTTACAGGACTGCCGTCTGCTGGAGTTTAAATAAAAACAACACTCATCTTCTTCAGTTTGTTCACGTCTCTAAAATACAAGCACAACTCCAGGCCCGTGTGAGCCTTCACACCTAAAATGTCTGAAATGCTAACGCAGGATTTCTCTGGAAAGCGGTTAGTAGCTTTGTGCAAAGTGTTGCTCAGGATGAGAGTTAAAGCAGGCGAGCACGTGACGCCACTTTGCTTCCAAAACATCGACTGGCTGAGGGCTCTCGTAGCTACAAAAGGCACCGAGGTCGTATCATTAATAATCACAAACGGCAGCAGCGGTGCCGCACATCCAGTCGAGAAATTTCAGAGCTGTTGGCAGCTGAGTTTTTAATGAGGAAAAAAAAAACCCAAACAGACGCAGATAAACAAAGGAGAAAAACTGTGCAGATGAAACTTGTGTTGGTACAGAGAGAAACCATGTGGAGTGCTCAGTCAAAACACGACACATCCAATAAAAAGGGCTCAACGAGGGATGCACCGTGTCAGATGTGAAGCACCACTAAGAAAAGAAATCTCCTCATGTTGTGGATGTGGCTTTCACCACAAAGTAGCAGGAGTGTTCGTAGCTCTGGGTGGAAGAACGGGCCCAATGTGAATACTTTCAGATGAAGTAGAGAGAGGTTATCTCTGCTCAAACATAGAAGGAATACTTGAGGGGGAGACCGCTCCGTCGTCTAACATCAAAACAAATCTATAGCTGTTTGAGGCCCTTTAAATCGGGGGTTGGGCACAGATAGAGGCTGTCCCTGGTGTTGTGGGGCAAAAATAGCCTTTACACCGGTAAAGCGAATTTAAAGGGAATCACAACAGGCAAAAATGCCCCAAAAGCTTGATTAAATTGAGTTTTTCAACAATGCATAGACAGTATAAATAAGTCTACCGTCTCCTGCGGGATTCTTTCTGGAGCATCGGTTTAAAACCAGCAGCAGTTTTCAGTCAGCAAATTAAAAAAAAAAAAAAAAAAAAAAGAGTTTTCGGACTGAAGCTCCACAACACAGGATGAGGACGTGCACCGCTCACTTTAATCAAAGCACGCTGAAGCCGAACAGTGTGCGGGTGAAGCACAGCCGACTCTGCTCAGTCTGCCACACACAGATGGCCGGCCAGTGGGAGACCTGACGGAAGAGCCGCAGTCAGTCGCAGCCTCTCCTTTTTTTGTTATATAAAAAGACAACTCGGCCCCTCACGCGGAGACGCTCAGCACCATCTGCGGTTTGTCCTTGATTGCTCGGCTGCACGGGGGAGTGAAGGGGGTCAAGAAGGAGAGGCCGAGTCCCCGCTGTCAAACGGGCCGAGGGAAGCGTGATTTATGAATGGAAGCTTTATCAAGGTTACAATGACTGCGAGGCAGGCGGATAAGGGAAAGGGAAAGGGAAAGGGAATGTCAGCTTTATGCGACAGGCTGATGGGGTGGATGCCTTTATGTTGGGCCGCACGGGTCTCTGTTATCGAGGAGATCGACTGATTCTCACCCTTCGAAGACATAAAGCTGGGCATATTAACCCGGGGATGGTGGACGTAAAAACTAAGTCTTAAACCTAATCTTAAGAAGAGTGTTTGGTAACGATATTCTGGGCGCCTCACCAACAAGTCCTAGTCCCATGTTTCAGAAATACATCAATCCCAGAATGCAACTGGGACCTGATCAACATGTTTAATAATAAATCCTCTTGGCTGATATTATTGGCATATCACAAAGAAATATTGTTATCTGCAGATGACAAATGACGGCTCAGTTCTCATGAACTAATGGTTTTATTACTAGTTATGATACTTAAATGTCAAAGTCGATAACTTGTTGACCGATTCCTCTTATTCTCAAATATCAATGTCAGTAAATTACCCTAAAAAAAAAAACAGTTCTTCTATTTCCTTAAATGGAAACACAGGATGATGAATTAAAGAGTCCCTTTCTCATTTAGGACACAATTTGTGATTCATCATCAAGAGCAGGAAAAAGCTGTATAATCACGTCTTTCAAATGTTAATATGTCCACTCCGGTGTTAATGCAACAGCTTCAGGATCCAGTGAGAGACCTCCTGGGGGGTTCATCCCTCTTGTTTTGTTGTTCACAACTAAACTGAACATCTGTGTTAAAAATGTAATCTGCATTGAGTAGAAATCAACCTTCAACAGTCGCCTCTCACTCTTCCGTTTCCTCTTTTTTTCCAACTCCTGCTCCTCTCTGTTTAATATATTTGCAGACTCTAATCCTCCTCTTCCTCCTCCTCCTCCTCTGTCTCCTTCAGTCCGTCTCCAACACACAGAACTGCTGACAGCGGTGAACTGCCTCCCTCCTACACCCCACAGCCCGGTGTCATCCTGATCTGTGTCCATGGAAATACCATCCCAGGTAGCAGGGAGAGAGCGCTGACACAACCATGGCAACAGCTGCCGGTGAGGATGAGGAGAAACTTCAGTCAAACCTCCAGAAGACAGTAAGAGAAAGAAAGAGAGAGGGGAGGAAGAGGAGGGAGAGGGGCGTGTATGTGAAGGAGGAGGAAAAGACAGATGTGCAACACTTAAATCCCGTCTCTGCTCTCGGCTCACACGGTTTTCAGTGCACAGCTACACCTGTAGTCTCACGCGTGTCACAAGCTCTGTGGAAAATAAACAGGCCAATACGCATTTCAATCAAACTGCACTCCACTAAATACATGCTGCTGTTTGGGCTTAGTTCACACATGTCAAACCTGAAGATCATAACTGGAACAGGAGATACAACAACGAGCTGATTCATCGCTAAAAAATAGCAAAGATACCAAACAACTTGTTTCAGCCTCTCAAATGTGGAGTTTTTGACTTTCCTGCGTTTTGCATCAGTGTGAATTGGATATCTTTGGTTTTAGATTGTAGGTTGAATAAAACGAGACACGTATGGCCTTTCTTATTTCAAACATTCCATAGATCAAACGATTAACTGAGAAAATAACTGGCAGAATAATTAATAGAGGTTAATATCACAAATGCTAACAGCAAGGCCATGTTCCTCTAACTCAAGATGTCCTCGTGTCAGCTAGAAGTGCAATATATGGATTTATGCAGGAACCAATACTGAAACACAAGTGCTTTTAAAAACATTGATTAATCTCATTTTCGAAACCACAGCCTCAACATAAACCAATGTCTGTCATATGATGGAGTTTAAGAGTGTTCAACAACATCTAAATACACCTGGACTTATGTTTGTCTTCCTGAGTTCATTTATTCTACTTCTGTGTGCGAGTTATTCTGTTGTGTATTTAGTCGATCAAAGGAAAATAAGATAAGTTAAATAAAAATACAGGCTATCATTAGCAATGTTGGTCCAGAAAGCTTCATCATTGTTCATCACGCAAACCTTTTAACACCGTTACTATCGTAACAAAAGCCCAAAGCCTTTTGTATCTAAAAACACTCAACTTCAGAGAAGCTGTTCCCGTCCTGCGTAGGAATTTAGTTAAATATTACTGCGATAGCTTCCTGACGTCACGCCACACCACTGATTAAAGATCAATTCATTACTCGAATGATTGTCTGAGTGCGTCAGCCGGGGCGGTGAGCCTCGGTGAGTTATTCCACAGTGAATAAACACTGCATTACTCACGCTTTGTTCTAAGTGGCTCGGCTGGCATTGTGTAACTTCTGTATGATGTGGTATCCTGTCTCTTGACATCCTGCTGGCTGAACCCCACATTAACAAATGTGGCTTTTTCGCTCACAACCCCGGGCTCCTCTGAGCTATCTATGGCTCGTCCCGCTCTCATCTTTTATATTTGGGATGTGCTGTGGACGCGCTCCCGCCTTTCTGTTCCGCTCCGCTCTTTTCCTGCTCCACTCAACTCCACTCTGCTCTCACCCCTGCCGCTGTTCATCTTCACCTCCCCCCCTCCCCTCACCCCCTCCCCTCCCCTCACTCCCCTTGTCCTGCTTTGCAAGACTGTCGAGCACTGGCACCGAGTCAGGACCAAGAGAAGACGAGCTGGATGTGTATCGCTCTGCTTGATGAATAGAGGAAATGCATAGACGATGCAGCAGGATGACAGAAAGCTAATGATGTTATTACTGGACTTTCATTAACAGCAACGGGCACCTAACAAGAGCATTAATGCCGCCAACATTCATACCGTGGAGTCTTCTTTTAGCCTGTACTTGAGCTGAAACAAACAAAGAGAAAAGTCATCTGAAACTATTTTGATAATCAGATAATCATTTCAGTAACTGAAATGATTAGAGAATTGGATAATGTGCTGCATTTGTCCGTTTTATATTGAATATCTTTGGAGCCTCAGTTAGAGAAGACGTATGAAAGCTTTAAGACAACGTACACTTTCAATAGCAGCAACTCTGCGTTATAATCCTAAACACAAACTGGGTTTATGGGCGCGTCCCTGTGTCCCGTTTGCCTGAGCATGCCGCTGATGGCCTGTTAGTTGTAGTGCAGCCACACACACACACACACGCACACACACACACACACACACACACACACGTTGGGTGAGCCACACCGTCGGCATACAGCGGTGCACAGACTCGGTCCACGCACAGATGTAGCCTGGACTTAGCCTTGATTAGCCATCTTTCTTGGAGCAGTGACTGGTTGAATAGAAACAGGAGGGACATGCGAGGAGCAACGGCACCGCTGCTCAGTCTCCACTAACACCTGCAGTGAAATGTTGACATTTCACCTGACTGGAAGAAGAATACGCTCATTCCCTGCTCCCCCCCCCCCTTAATTTAGCAGTAGAGTAATGGCGTGTGATCGGTGAATGATTACTTCTCTTTTAAACCGGCTGTCATGGCAGATCCTCGCCTGATAAGAGGCGAGATGGAGCGAGAAAACTTATCGAGTGTTATTACTTCTGTGACAAATCCCGTCTGACGGGTGTTTGGTCGCACTAAGAGGAGGGACAGGATGGAAATTGTCAGAGAAAGATGAAGGCAAA